GGCAGCATTGTCCGTAGTTCTTTCAAGCAACTTGAGCGAATTAGTTATAGCCAAGATTGACGTACGAAGTTCCACCTCAAATCCTGGGCTGTACATGGTGCGTAGTACGTGGGCTCGACAATAGTCTTCTGCATATTGTCCAACGAAGCGGAAAACAGATGCAAGCTGCATGGCGGTAAGTTCCTCAACAGTATTCTGGTTAACCAGAAATGAACTATTGACGGAAACTGGCGGTAAAGGAAAGACATCTGCAGGAGCAGGATTTCTGCGAATTGGGATCCGCGCGGGAGTCAGATGCGATGGGCCCGGAGGGTCCACCTTATCGCGGAGACTCTCGAATTCTCGTAGATACTCGTCATGTGCTGCGCGCATGGCGTTACCTACGTTACGAATGATTCGGGAGTAGTCCACGATATTCTGCTCTCGTGGGTTGAATGTTAACTCCAATGGCAGAATTCCTGATTGTGAAGTTGGTTCATGCGCCGTCTGCGAAGGAACCGATGCCGAGGCATCCGTTGTCTTCGGCTTGACGAAGCATGAACGCTTCACTTTCTCCTTAAAAGAGAATTGCGGTAAGGGCTGATTATCCGTGGCAGGCGGTTGGTCTCGGACTCCGGAAGGGGACCAAGACTATCCACGCTCCCAAGGCTGACGGTCTCCGTCCGGCACGGTCCTCAGCTGTGCTATCATCGCTGTCAGACTGTGATACGGGATAATCGGCACAGAATCGCGCGTCGGGTTTGGTGGGATCCACCTTGCCCGCTGCGACCAACGATTCGAAAGCAAAACCACGACTTGGCTTTTTGCTTACGTTATCGTCGTGTGCCGGTTGCTCCCCTACCCTGGCTGTCAAGCGATAATTGCTGCGTGAAGTCTTCGGCAATTTGCTGTACGGGTGCTGGCGTTGGTGCCAGCTGTTCTTCTTCCTCCTCGTCCTTGTCCAACGGCATCGTCGTCGGCTTCGGTGTTGTTGTTGTCGACTTGGATGACGTTGGCGTCTTCTTGCTTCTTGTCGATCGTCTTCTTGGCATAGTTAGTAGCTTGTTAGTAATTGATTGAACTCGAAAGAACAACCTGAAAGTAGAATGCTATAGTAATACTGAATTGAACTACACCACAAGAGAAGGATGTAGATAGACAAGAGAAGTGACTAAGGATGATTAGGGAGAAGAACAGATAAGTGTGATAAGGATTAAGCCTAAGGGAAAGGGCGACCGTTTATGATGACTTAAGTAAGACAAATGGTTGGCATCGATCGATGTCGAGCCATATGATGACATGGCTGCCCTTTGCCTTACGCAATCCTTATTGGGTCCCGAGGCGATGCATGCAGCGTCGCCACAGGATAGTGCGGTAATGCAAGCGCTACGAGTAACTCACCAAAATGGATTACTAAAGGGAACTAAAGGGTAACTAAACTACTATTGGAAGGTGATTAAAGGTAATGAGAGAATAATTAAGGTTGATATGTAGTGGAGGTTACGCTGGGGGTTAAACACGTTTCGCTGTCTCGGCGGTTGTATCCCTTGGGTGTGTTGAGGATTCTAACACGGTAGCTCTATGGGGCATGTTTACCAGTTCGGCATCTGTACAGTGAACGATAGAGTTGTCTTCGGAGATAGTAAGACTTGAAATGACTTTGGCAAGAGGCCAACGTGCTCTTGGCATGTCATCCGTCCGAACGATTACAAGGTCTCCAACCGCTGGATGTACATGTGATCCTACCTGCTTCTTGGCCGGTTTCTGGGAGCGTTGGGCTAATGACTGAAGATAGTCTTCGCTCCAAAGCTTCCAGAAATCGTCAAGAGCTGCAACTAGGGTGTTATGTCGCTCTTTCAGCTGCTCCTTTGCCTGCGAGTCGGAGACATCGTGGACAAAGAAGTCTGAAACAAGCGATGTCGCGGGAAGATGTCCTAAGTGAAAGTCGTTCCATCGAGCAACGTCTTCGTCATTTAGGGGCTGATCCCAAGCCTGCTTGTTCCTTCCAAAGATCTTGAAGGAAGATCTTAAGCGGCACACAACCAGTGGAATCAAATACCCTAAAGGATCGAAGTTCGAAGCGATTGCCCGTAAGACAGTGCGCTTCGTTGTTGCTGCGAAGGAAGCAACATTGACGATAATATGGAGAGTATCTTGCACCAGCAATGATGAATGATCCTGCTTCCAAGGAAGCTGGACAGTATCATAGATTGCTGGGCAAACTTGGCGGTTAAGCCGCCTCTTCATCATGTCGCGAACTCGGATCGTCGTAAATCCCAATGGACTCGAGGTCCCAGAGTTTACGAAGGTCCGGTTCCGTGGCATGCTGATCGGCACGGAAAAATGTGTTCACCAGAGAAACACTAGCCATAAGGCTTGTAGACAGACAAGCACGGGTCTGACCAGATACGACTGGACCAAAACGTGTGTGCAGAAGCATCAATCCTGACGACAGTCTACGAACCTCCAACGGGTCAAGCATACTCCAAAAGTAGTCGATACCGATGAGGATGTCCACATCGACTTCCTCATTAGGGATCGACGACTTCGGAATACTCGCTCGTTGTGAAGATCGTGAAACGGCCTCCAGAATATGAGCATCCACACTAAGTGATGTTGTAATTTGGCGAGTCCTAAGTCGTAGATGGACAGGCTCGTTTGCCTGATCACGTATGACTATCGTAACCAAGGATGACATCTCCGTAGAGAGGTGTCCTCCAAAGCTACGTGTAGTCAAGAGACTAGGGTTTCGAAACCGAAGTCCAAGTCTTTTGGCTGTAGCTTCTCGGATGAAGCTGTGTTGCGCTCCTGTATCGAGCAGCATCACAAGCGTTTCATCAGTGCGAGTAATAATGTTCATAGCTCGCGAAGTGACAACCATGAGGCGAGGATCAGTTGCAAGTGAGCTCGAACTATTTATTGCCGAACAATGAGTGATGTTGATAGGTTCGGTCTCCTCACAATCCGATTCACTAGTCTCAAGGTTGAGCTTCGGCTCGAACATTTCGGCGGTTATGGAATTCTGTGAAGAACTCCTTGAAGGAAGTCGCGATGGACTCGACGACTGCGACCGATTCCTTCGTGGGACTCGAAAAGACACTTCTCGTCGTCGTGACTCCGATCGACGTCCACTAGAGGATCTACTGCTGGACCTGTCCGCCGCTGGAGTGGGATACCTCGTGCGGCCTCTCCATTCACCTATTCCGGGATCGTCACGGCTCTGTGCGGTGGGCTGCCGTCGGCACAGTGCAACGTGGTGATCTCGTTTACAGTAGATGCATGGAGGTGTGCTGCACTCAGTAGCACGATGTCCTTTAGCAAGACATTTCCTACAGAGACTTTCGTCGGCGACGATCGTAAGTCTCGTCTGTCGAGTAGTGACTATGTGACAATGTACCGGAGAGTGTCCAGATCTCCTGCAGAACGGACATTGCTCTGCACGGCGAACTGGAGTACTCGACCGAGTACGCGGCTGCCGGTAACCGAGGGGGTGGGGAAAATTCCCCTGCCGGAACGCGACGAGTCTCTTAATGAGGATCGTCGTCGTTCTGACGGATGGACAGAGAGAGTATGAGTATACTTCTGCTCTGCCGTGTCTGCGATAGTTTCGAAGGTCTTGATAGCACGATCGAGTCCGTCGAGAAGCTGTGGAACCTCCCACACGGTAGGGTCCGCAGTCTCGATGGCACCGAGGTGCTCCAAGGTTCGTTGCGGAAATTTCTGGCGGATAATACGCATAACGAAGATGTTACCCTCGTGGTCCCCAAGCTTTTGAAGTTGGAGCCACAAGGATTTGATCTGCGCTAGCGTTGTTCGTTGATGCAACGCAGAAGTACCAGCAGGCCTCATATTTTGAAGTCGGGTACTTAACTGAGTACGTATCAACTGTGGCCGATAGTACGTCTCGCGTAGCGTGTGCACGGCGAGATCGTAGTTCTCGGCTGTAATGTCATACCCAGCTACTATCGCTTGTGCGTCACCTTTGAGGAGATTCCTCAAGTGATGGAATTTGACGACAGGTGATAGAGTTGGGTTTGCGTGAACAGCAGAATTGTACGCATCCCAAAATGATGGAAATGTTCGATCTCTCCCAAGAATGGGGGTAAATCGAACTTGGGTAAACGAACAAACTGCTCTTGCGGTAATGCTTCACGCTGCTGCGGATGAATTTCTTCTTCCGAAGCAGTGTGACGCAGCGGAAATGGTACTTCGTGCGAGGTGGTACCCCGGGTACGGTCCGGAAGACTTGCGTCTTCGGGATGTGCCCGTGGTGCCATCTGCACTGGAGTCATCAGGGGAACCCTGCGGTGCGGAGGTGCAGGGGTTTCCGTGTGACTCGTACCTTTCTGCCGCGAGTGGGGCTCTAATAGACGGATTGCGACATCAAGTCGGGAAAGAAGTTCTCCTAGCCGAGTTCTGGGCTTGGTCCCCTCCTTGGCCATTCCAATGGAGGCGGGCCTCGTCATACAGGACTTGGCGTCGGTCTTCTTGCTCAACTTGAGCGATACCCTGGACCATTAGGTCCCACTGCTGGTCAGTGCGGCAAAGAGCTCGTGAGAGATAGGTCTGCGTGACCATGAGGTCGCGCATCCTAGCCCTCTAACGAATTCATGCCGAATTAAGAGAACTTACTCTTTGATTATCACCGTCTTCAAGGAGATTATGTTGATGGAAGCCATGACGTCCTTAAGATCTTGCACAGAACGTCCAACTTCTCGTTTGAGTAGCTCAAAGTCCATTACAGCAGTCGAATTGACCAAATGAAATGAATTTGAGTACTCTGCGTCTCCCTTTTTATAGGCGCTGGTAATCAATAGGTAAGTTGACCTTGGAACGTGTCTTTCCGATCGATTTGCATGTGACTTTTCTCACCGGCG